CCCCTTTTTTTTTTACCCAATGATCTAATTGAGTAGTTAATTAGATATTTAGACTAATGATTAAAAAACAAATAGATAATAAAAAAGGGAAAGGGAGCAAAAACAGTTTCTCCTGTTTTCAACACACATTCTTTCTTCGTTGTCTTAACTACAGAGATGGGGGTCAAAAGGATGGAAAGAAGGTGAGGAGAAAACTGCCGCCCATTCCTGCAGGCGAGGATCCCGTACTGGTACCCAAGTCAAAGGGCAGGCGCGGGAAGCCTTCAGTGAAGAGGGAGGACGAAGTCGACCGTGATGATTTGTCCGGCATCACAGTTGGCTCTGGCGCTAGGGTAATCGTTAGTAGTTCCTACCAGGGACTGGCCGGGGCACCGGATGGAGAGTTTATCGTTGGGCCCAGCAACAGAACGAACCGAACTCCTGTGGTGAGGGACAGCGATGATTCTATGAATGAGGACGATATGGAAGTGGCAAGGCTGACCACCCCTCGAGGCGAGTCGACCTCCCCGAAGAGGAAAGGTCACTTAGGGGATGCGGGCAAGTCGAAAAGTTTGGACTCGGTCGAGCCGCCGAGACAAAGGGGTGAGAAGCCCGAGGTTAATAACAAAGCGAAGCCACCGATGCAGAGAACGGCGTCGCTTGGACACGGGCCTAAGGACGAGACGGATGAGATTATCGATGAACTAATCAACATCTACGGCATTCCCTGCACCGAGGCGATGAAATGTCTCAAGAAAAGACTACAAGAAGAACTGAGAAGGGTGACAAAGGATCGGAAAAGAAAACTCGAAGAACTGGAAGAAATCCGAGCTCTTCAAATGCAGATAGGTGCCCTAAAGTTAGAGTCTGACAGCTACGCCAGGAGTAGGGCTTTTATTGGCAAGCGATCCCCTGCACAGAACGAGCCGCAACAGCAAGAGAGCCGGAAGAGAAGCGGAGGCCCCAGTTCCTCATCATCCTTGACCCCGAGGTCATCACCTCAGGTGACCCCACGACGCCAGCGCCACAAACGACAATCGTCAGACCCGATGATCTCGAAATTCTCTCCGATCAAAGAAGATCGCGATATAGAGTCAGATTTCCAGAACAGATTGTATGAACCGTCGGACAGTCGGTCTTCTCGATACCCTGCCACCGACGACAGCTCCCAGTCTGGAGTAAGTGACACGGAGAGCACTCGCTCGGAACCAGTCCGTGATCCGCGATATAGCAAAATCAAACCGGCAGACTACGCAAGGATTTTCTATAATCAAAAAGGAGGTCCTGGGGGATCAGCGGAGAGGCTTCAGTACAGCGACTATGAGCAGTCTAGGTACGACAGAGCGCAGACACTGTCAGGAAGCCGATCAGAACAACAGCTTTCCTCCAGCTCGAGAGCGTCTGTTTTCTACTCCGATGACGAGGAGTCAAAAGTCAGAGAGGAGAAGAAAGCTCTTCTTCAGTACGAGATCATGAAGAGGAAGCAGCAGCTGGAGGAGACTGCTCGCCTCAAGACTGAGTTACTTAAGTTAGCTCGGGCTCGTCAGAGTTTGGCTCATAGCTATGACGACATACCGCGTCAGTATCCAAGTCCGGCCGCCTCCCACAGACCGGTGGCGAGAGGAATCATCAAGCCGATTGACGACGAAGCCCAGTACATGTACGACCTGAGATCATCAGACAATATCGCATCTCGCTCTCGGGAGCACTCTCGCGAACGCTCGAGAGAAAGATCCCGAGAAAGATCACGAGAGCGTCTCGGAGAGAGCAGAGATATGGACGACTCCCTCGACAGCATCGTTCTTCCAGAGCACCGGAGCAGAGACCCCAACAGGCACCATCGCCACCACCACCACAATCAAAAACACCACTCCCCTCTTCCTGCTGCTCACCATCACCACCACCACCATCATCACCACCACCACCAACCGCCCGCTCCTCAAGATCCTAAAGTGATATCCAACTACAGCTCCACGGAATACCTCGCCCACAAGCAAGAATCCCGGCGATATATTGACGACACGAACCAGTACGGTTCGCAGGGTTGGATCGGCGCTGACTTCCCGGGAGACGGCATGGCGTCAGGACAGGCGTACTCCCAGCCCAGTCTCAGCAAGAGAGACGGTTCGTCTCAGTCGTTGGCCGCGGCGCGCAGGGAAGCTGCCAAGAAAGAGGCAGGTATCTCTTCCAGCGTCACCCTGCCCAACATCTACGCCAATCGTGGAGACAGGGACTTCCGGCCGCCTTACAGGTTTGTGGGGGTTTTTGGTTGCAGGGAGGGGGGGGGGTGTTTTTAATTGTTGTTTTCGGGTTTGGTTTTGTTTTGGGGGTCGGGATTTTTGGTTGTATTTTTGTAGGGTTTGTTTTTTCTCTCCAGTTTAGTTTCTGGGTTTTCTTTTCTGCTCTATGGAGGGGGGTGATGTGGGTGATTTTTTTATTTTGGGGTTTCGGTGCGTATTGTTCTTGGAATTTTGTGGTTGGGATCATATGATACAGTTCTAATGGTATAACTGTTGCCTGGCTTGTAGCGATTATAAAACAATAAGTACATAAATTGATTAGTATCGAGACACCAACAAAAGATACATAACAATCTAGATGTGTGTGTGTGTGTGTGTTTGTGTGTGCGTGTGTGTTTGTCTGTGTGTATATGAATGAGTGTGTATGTGTATGAATAAGTGTGTGTGTGTGTGTGTGTGTGTGT